GCCTTCCTTTTCCTTTTTCGCTAAATATTTTCACGCTAATTATTCAGACGGTGACCTATATATTCTTGACAAAATAGAAAGTAGAATTTGCAATATTATCGGTCCTGATCTGGCATTTCGGCTTCCGTCACTTTCTCACCGACGTAACGTAGCTCCTGTCTGCCTCTTCTATAAATATTTTCATCGTAATTGTTCTGCTGAGCTATCTTTAGAAATATTCATTTGGGTCTCATTTGTAAATGTTGCATATTCATATTCCTCCCGCCAAGACAAATTGTAAATATGGAAAAAAAATTGGACTACATAGAGATTCTGAGGTATTATGGTGATTGTAGTAAGAATGATATGTAAGAATATGTTGTTTTGGTGTAAGGAATACTGTGGTATGTTTGTGTCGGTAATCGTGACTGGCTAAGCTTTAAGATAAGACAGATTAAAGACCAGCTTCCCCCCTATCCCAACTTTGTATTATTCAGAATACATATTCCTCTCCATTTCTCCCAGCCCGATAAAAAAATTGTATATATGAAGACAAGTTAGGACCTCACTGAGACTCTGAGATCTTATGGTGATTGTAGTAAGATTGTTAAATAAGAATGTGTTGTTTTGGTGTAAGGAATACAGTTGTATCTTTGGCTCGGTAATAGTGGCTAGATAAGATAAGATATATTGAAAACCAGCCTCCCCATATCCCAAATTTGTATTATTCAGAATACATATTATTCTCCGTTTCCCCCACTGCGACAGACAAATTGCACATATGGAGATAAGTTAGGACCTCACTGAGACTCTGAGATATTATGGTGATTGTAGTAAGATTGTTAAATAAGAATGTGTTGTTTTGGTGTAAGTATTATTGTGGTATGTTCGGGTCGGAGATTATGATTAGTGAAGTTTAATTATAAGACAGAAGAGAATCAGCCTTCCTCCATTCCTCCCCCCCCACCGCCATTTGCCCTTGAGCCACATTTTTGTATTTTATACGAAATATCTCTTTCCTCTTTATAAATAATCAGTGGGATCTCATTTTTATTCCCCGCCCAGACAAATTGTACATATGGTTCAATTTAGTACTATATAGAAACTCTGAGGTATTATGGTCGATGTAGTCTGTATGATAAGTCAGAATGTGTTGTTTTGGTGGGAGGAATATTGTAGTATGTTTGGGTCAGTGATCGGGGCTAGTCTTTCTGAGCGACTGTTCGGTTAAACTCTCTTCCTACGGACGGGAGGAACCCGAAGCAGGCTACGCCGAAGGGCGGAGTCTCCTTCGGGGAGGTAGACCGACCCTGAACCCGTTTATACGGGCATATTTTTGGCCGAGCCCACGGGCTCGGAATGCCCACGTTAAAAAGGCATTGTGCCACATGACACCCTCGTGGGGGTGACTGAATATCGTCAGTGAATTGGGGCAAGCCAAGTTTGAGATAAGAGCCATTCCTCGTCACTCCCTTTTAGCTGTGTGCCACCTTCTTGAATTATTCAAAATAAATATTACTTTCCTCTTCATACATAAATCTGAGCCCAGTACGAGATCGGTAGATAGTTTCACTTTTCAAATTGGCTAGATGTAACTGTATGTTTTATGCTAACAGATTTTTTGTCTCGTACTTCACGCTTGTGGAACTCTCTTCCCGCTTTTTTCTTACCGTTCAACTTTGATCTCTAATAATTTAACTGTAACGTCCATCGCCCTCTTAGGCACTCTTTTATTGTCCTCTCTATGTAATAATGTTTTTTTCTCATATTACTTTCCGTTTCCCGCACCCCGACAGACAAATTGTGCATATCGAGACAAGTTAGGACCTCACTGAGTCTCTGAGATATTATGGTGATTGTAGTAAGATTGCTAAATAAGAATGTGTTGTTTTGGTGTACGGATTATTGTGGCATGTTCCGGCCAGTGATTGTGGCTAGCTAAGTTTAATTATAAGAGAGAAGATGACCAGCCTTCCCCCATCCACCTATTTGGCCTTGTGCCAAATGGGAGGGAGGCTGGTTCAACGTCTTATAGATTGAGTTGGATCTTTTCTAATTGATATCTTTAGCTCTAAGTTGATTGGGATAAAATGAGCTGGTTAGATGTAACCGTAAATTCTGTGCTAAGAGTTTCTTGTCTTGCAGTTCTCGCTTGTTGAACTCCTTTCCAGCCCTACGCTTTCCAGCCGACTTTAATCTTCAAAAATTTAAATGCAGTGCCAATCGCCATCTACTGTCCTGCTGATTACACTACTTTTGCATTTTTTCGTTAATGGTATTTCTGCTTTTAATTCTTCCAAGCCCTGTAACCGCTCGTGTCACAGTGGCTTTAATGACTTGCTTGGGCTAAACTTATATATAAACATATATATATATATATATATATATATATATATATATATATATATACCAGGTGTAACAGCAAAATTCTTCAAACGTGTAATAGCAAAATTGTCCAATTGTTAGATTAAAATTTGAGTTGTATCTTAGAAATGATTAACCTTATCTTACTGGAATTCTC